GCAGGCCCCTTTCCGCGACAGGATGCCGAGAGCAGCGCGCCATGGCGAAGCCATGACCTCTGTCATTGAAGCATACGCCCACGCATGGGCCCACCCGGCGAGAGCAGTGAGTCCAGCGTCAGTGGCGGCGATGTCCTTGAGGCGCGAATTTCCCCATGGTCTCGTGCCGGCGGCCTTGCAGTCGGCAGTTTTGGTGACCGCCGTGTCGACGGTCTTCTTGGTTACCGCGGGGGCCTTGCCGCGGGTGTCGCGCTGTCGGAGGTCCAGGCGGGGCCGCAAGGGATCGCGGCCAGGGCCCGCGATGCATTTGGCACGCACGAGGTCCACGGACTCGCCTGCACCTGCATGGACCCCGCGGCTGGCTAGGATCCGCCGCCCGGTCCAAGCGTCACCATGCAACACTCTGACTCGAGTTTTGCCGCCGCTGGAGCTCCTCCACGTTATCGGCGGTGGCCGTAACCCGCCGCTCCGCTGCTCGGGCCGCCGCCGCATCGCTGTCGACTCGGACCACGGCGGCGCGCCGGAGCGCTGTCCCCCCCTCCCCCCCCGTAGCCACCCCAGTTCCTCCTCCTCGCTCCCCGCAGCCAGCCCGGCTCCTCCTCCTCGCGCCTCCTCGCCCTCTCCGGCGCACCCAGTCCTCCGATCTGGCCGACCACGCAGGCAGCCGGCGCCAGGGGGCTCCCCTGGTCGAGGCCGAGGGCGCTCTCGACCTCCTCGAAGTTGCCCGCTGCGTCCTTCCAGAGGTGTCTGGCGGACCTCGGGTGCCACTTGTCGAGTACCCACGCGGCTCCTGGCGCGTGAGCGGCCATGGCCCAGATTGCGGGCTCTTGCCGCAAGCGCTGGACTGTCACCTTGATGTCCACTTCAAGGAACACCATCCCTGGGTGGGCGTCGGACTGGGCTGGCAGCTGCCTGACCAGCAGATCGACCCCGCCTCACCAGGCAACACTTGGCGGCGGCTCGCTGCCTGACGGAGATTTGCTTTCCTGGCCCACGCCACCACTCGCATCCCGAGGCTCCCGAGGCTGGCCCCAACGAGCAGTGGGCGGGCATCGTGGTGTTTTCTCTGTCCAGGGCCACCACCTCGCCCACCCGGAGGGCCGGGCACCGGCGCTGGCACCTCCCCACGGTGAGCTCTGCAACCGCCTGGGCGAGCAGAGCGAGCGCCCCCCGGGTCGCCCGCCGCTGCGGAGAGGTGCTCAAGGCGGGCCCTGGGCAAGCCTGGCGCGGTCAGCCCAGGCGGCTTGCGGAGGAGTTTGCTGACCTCCGCCTGCACCTCGTCCCACAGGTCTGTGGAGGACGATCAGTGGAGAGGAAGCATGCTGCCTGATGATTTCCAGTCCAGATGTCTAAAAGATATTTCAAATAGGTTTAAAATATGGCAAGCGCATGTTTGAAACATTTTTAGAACATGTTTTACACATGTCAAACACATCTTTCACTCAACGATAGGATTGTTAGAGTGTCCATTGTCATGGCATCCACAGCCACAGGTGCGGGTCGGGGGCGGTCCCGCGAGGACAGGCGGGCTGGGCCGGGCCTCCTGGCGCCGGAACGGGGGCGGAGGGCGGCGCGCAGCTCGTCCAGCGTGCTGCTGCGATGCGGAGCGAGCGGGGTGCCCCGGGCGGCCCCGAGCGCGCGGCCCGCCTCGCCAGCCGCGGCCAGGGCGGGGGCCCGCGGCGCCTTCCGTTCCTGCTCCTCCGTCTGTTCCCGCCTGGCGGCCTTGGCGGGGGGCGCGGAGCGTCCGGCAGCGTCTCCCCACAGAGCGCTCCACTGTCAGGAGGGGAAAAAACACACAGACACAATTGATCGTCGATTCCCAGGAAAGCATGGGAAAATACGGGGAGTGGGGGCGAAGACAAAAATCCAGAAAATATGGGAAAATGTGGGGAATCTCTTTATTTGTGTGTACTTATTCGTGTGTCCTGGGGCCCCTTCACACTGGCCCCCCCACCACCGCGCCAGGCGTTCTTCCAAAGCCTCGGCGCTTGTGGCCTGGTCGGCCAGCCCGGCAGTGAGCAGCCCGTCGACGAGGAGTAGCCCCTTCCGGTCCTGCTCGGAGCCCCCCCCCCGCGGCGGCCGCCAGTACTCCCAGCAGCTTCAGGCGCGCTGTGAAGACCGCGCCGTGGAACCGATCTGGCACTTGAGCGAACACATAGGCGTGCCGACGCGCACGACCAGTGGCCATGGGAGGCGCTCCACAATTCCCGCTGCGTGAGCACATCGTTGTCCCAGTCCTGGTGAACCAGCGGCGGCAGCGGAATGTTGGCCTCTGCCCCCTCGGCTGCCGCTGCGGCCGTGGCGCTGGCGGCTGGCGACCGAGCCAAAGCAGCTTGCGCTGCCTCCTCCTCCTCCTCCTCCTCCTCCTCCTCCTCCTCCTCCTCCTCCTGCTCCTCCTCCTCCTCCTCCTCCTCCTCCTCCTCCTCCTCCTCCTCCTCCTCCCCATAGAAGAGCTGTGTTTTGCACGAGGGAAGTGGCACGTGAGAGGCATCTCCACCTCCGTCGATCCTGGCTGCCCCACGGAGCCAAGCTCAGCTCCCCGCTCTCGAAGGGGATGCCGCACCCTCTGCAGAAAGCCAGGCGGGAGGAAGTCGGCGGCAGGCCGGCCGCCCAGCGTTGCTCCTGTCGACGCCGAGCCCGGCGACTGCCCCCCTCCATCTCCACGCCCCCCTCCAGCAACTCCACGTCCTCGACCCCCTCTGGCATCTATTCGCCCCTTCCCGGATCCGCGGCCATGATGACGGGGGCCAGCGCCCCCGGGCGACAGGGCATGAATCGGGAAACATAGCAATGTCCGATGCAATGCCTGGTGTGGTGGGGCGGAAGGTTCGGCATGCGGCTGCCAGCGTCGGCGACACAAGACAGACACGGGGAGCCTCCCTCCCTTCCTTGAGGCTCCTCCTCCTCCATCCCTTCTCCTTACAAACAATTTCTCTCTGTCGCACCCCGAGGCCAATTGTTAGGGCGGGCCGGGCGTTTCGCCTGAGACTTACTCACCATTTACGGTTCTGAAGCATAGAAAGTGGCAACGGTTTCACAGGTGGAGGACGGGTGGCTTTCAAAATGTGGCTCTCGCCGTAGCGCCGCGCACATTCGTTTTAGACATTGCAAGAGTTTTGCGGATTGAGGGCGGGTCGTTTTCAAAATGTGGCTCTTGCCATAGCGCCGCGCACATTCGCTTTGAACACTTGCAGGAGCTTCACGGATTGAGGGCGGGTGGTATTCGAAATGTGGTTCTCGCCTTAGCGCCGCGCACATTTGCTTTCAAATAGGCAAGAGTTTCACTGATTGAGGGCGGGTGGCTTTCAAATTGTGACTCTCGCCTCAGCGCCGCGCACATTCTCCGACGAAGGCATCTATACACCACCACCGTGCCAGGCCGGGGCCATCCTGGGCCGTAGGATGGTGTATAGATTCTCCTGGCTCGGCCAGGAGGGCGTATACACCATCTTAGGGCCCAGGATGGCCCTGGCCTGGCACGGTGGTGGTGTATAGATGTTTTCTGCGTACATTCGTTGAAAAAATGTTCAAGAGCTTCACGGATTGAGGGCGGTTTCTTTTCAACATATGGTTTTCGATATAGCGCCGCGCACATTCGTTTTTTTCTCATGTGCAAGAGTTGCACGGATTCCCATGACCAACGTATCAGACATGGTGGTGTGGAGGGATTCAGGATTACGCGGGTGCAACAGTTATGTTGATTCGCGGTGTCGAAGTCCCAAAGATGGCGTTCTGGCACGATTCCGGATCGTCAAGACGCAGCAGTCAGGTTGATCCGTGGCTATGAAATCCCGCGAAAAATGTTTTGGCATGATTCAAGGTCTTCAAGGGTGTCTTCAAACGAGTTAGCTCCTTCAATGGAAATGGTCCGTTGTAGGGACTTACGAAGAGGGAGTTTAGAGGGAGGGTTAATTCAAACATCGTTGATGACTCTTTCGTTTACTCTGGTTCTCCTCCTCCTCCTCCTTTTTGAGCCATCCTTCTCATCCCCCTCCCCTCCTCCACCATCCATCCTCCTCTATCCCCCCTTCTCTCCGTCCCCTCTCGGTTTCCCTCCCTCCTCCTGCCCTTCCTCCTCCTCCTCCTCCACCCTCCCTCCCTCCCTTCCCTCCCTCCCTCCTCCTTCATTCCTTTCCCTTATAGATAACTTCTCCCTGTCGCACCTCGCGGCTAGTTTTTAAGGCGGTTTGGGCGTTTCGCCTGAGACTTCCTCACCATGTATGACCCTGAAGCTTAAAACATGGCAACAGCTTCACAGGTGGAGGACGCGTGGTTTTCAAAATGTGGCTCTCGCCGTAGCGCCGCGCACATTCGTTTTAAACGTTGCAAGAGCTTTGCGGATTGAGCGGGTCGTGTTCAGAATGTGGCTCTCGCCTCATCGCCGCGCGCATTCGTTTCAAACATGTGCGAGGGTTTCACGGATTGAGGGCGGTCTTTGTCCAAAATGTCGCTCTCGCCTTAGCGCCGCGCACATTCGTTGTAAAAAGTCGCGAGAGCTTCACAGATGGAGCTTCACGGATTGAGGGTGGTTCTTTTTCGAAAGGGTGGTTCTCGCTGTAGCGCCGCGCACATTCATGTTTTAAATGCGCAAGAGTTGCACGGATTTCCATGATCAGCGTAGTTGTGGAAGGATTCCGGATTATGAGGGTGCAACAGTTTCGTTGGCTCGCCGTGTTGAAGTCCCAGGAATTGCGTTCCCTCTCGATTCAGGATCGTCAAGACGCAACAATCAGGTTGATCCGTGGCGTCGGAATCCAGATAACGATGTTCTGGCATGCGTCAGGGTCTTCAAACGGTTGCTTTCCAACGAGGCAGTTCCCTCAGTGGAAATGGACCCTGGTAGGGGCCTGTGAAGAGGGACCTTGGAGGGAGGGTTTATTCCAACATCGTTGATGACTCTTGGGTTTACACTAGTCTTCCTCCTCCTCCTCCTCGTCTTCATGATCTTCATCCCTCCCTCCCTGCTACCTCTCCGTTTCTCTACCTGCCCCCACCAACAGGTGCAGGAGTTCGGGGACGAATTTGAGCGCCAGAGCTATACAGCCGACGCCCAGGGGTGAGTCGCAGGCCGGGACTCTCGGCGCCGTCGCCGCCGCTGCCGTCGCCGATCGTCGGTCGTCGGTCTTTCCTGTCGCGGGTCCCTGGTCGTGGTGGTCGTTGTTGTTGTTGTTGTCGTCGTCGTCGTCGTCGTTGTCGTCGTCGTCGTCGTCGTCGTTGCCGTCGTCGCCCTTCGACCCCTTCCTCCCCGAGGCGCACCTTGCTTTCTTGCTGCCTACCCCTCTGGGGCAGAGCGGTGCAGCAACCTCACCGGAGCTCAGACGATCGTCTCGCGCCCGCGTCCCACCGCCTCTCTCTGTTCTCCCTCGCCCTCCTCCTCCTCCTCCTCCTCCTCCTCCTCCTCCCCCTCCCCCTCCCCTCCCCTCCCCCCCCCCCTCCTCCCTCCTCCCCCTCCCCCTCCTCCTCCTCCTCCTCCTCCTCGCGCCCCGTCCCCCTTCCCCTCCTCCTCCTCCTCCTCCTCCTCCTCCTCCTCTCTCCCTCGCCCTCCTGCCGCGCCCGCGCGCTCTCCCGCGTAGGGAGGCGGAGGGGGGAGAGGAGGGCAGGGCAGGGACGCCAGCCTCCGACGTCTCGGTTCCCGAAGGCTTGCGTGCTTGCTGAGTGGAGCCTCGGGGCGCGTCGTGGGTCCCCGGCGTGTGGTGTGCCTGTGCGGGGCGACAACGGTCCCCCAGGGAGCACGCATCGAAGACGTCACGACGACATTGGCAGCTGGAGGAGGAGGAGGAGGAGGAGGGGGGGGGGGGGAGGGGGGGGAAGGGAGGAGGAGGAGGAGGAGGAGGGAGGGAGGGGACTACGGAGGAGGAAGGAGAAGGAGGTGGAGGAGAGAGGGAAGAGGCGGGAGGGGAGGATGGGGGATCAGGAGGGAGAGAGTGGATGAGCAGGGAAGAGCAGAGGCTGAGGCAGGGAGGAGGAAGGACGGTGAGGGGGTATGGGAGGACGGAAGAGGGAGGATGGAGGGTTGAGGAGGCATGATGGGGAATATGGGAGAGACGAGGTAGGACGGCGGAGAGTCAAGGTTGGAGGGGGGGAGGAACGTGGGGAGGAAGGGGAGGGATGATGATGCTGCTGCTGCTGAGGAGACGGAGGAGGGTAGTTGTGATGGTGGTGGTGCTGGTGATGATGATGTTTAGGATGATGATGACGATGATGATGATGACGATGATGACGATGGTGATGATGATGATGATGATGATGATGATGATGATGATGATGATGATGATGATGATGATGATTATGATAATAATGATGATGCTGATGATGATGATGATGATGAAGATGCTGATGATGATAATGATGATGATGATGATGACTTCGATGATGACTTCGGTGGTGACTTTGATGATACTAATGATGACAACGATGATGGTGGTGATGGTGATGGCGATCATGAGGGTGATGGTGACGATGCCGATGCGGATGGTGATGCTGATGATGATGATAGAGTTATATGATGAATGTGATAATATGACACTTTGATAAGATGACTACCACCCCCTGGATTAAAAAATCCGGATCGGCACTGCAGGCCCCCTTCATCGTCGCTCCCCGTGAGGTAAACATGACTGGCAAGAAGTACCAGAATCGCAACCTCCAAGCAACATAACTGGGACCGGAAATTATTTGCGAGGAATTCCCAAGCGAAATCGCCAAATTCCGGTCGCCACTGAGAATTTCCTGTCGCCTGAAAAGCGTCCGGAATTTTTTTTGAGGAAGTATTAGGCGGAATGCGGATTTCCGGTCGTCACCCCATGTGGCGACCCCTGCAACATTGTACCGGGGCCCCGTGGCCTAACGGGAGCCGAACCACAAGGCTTATTTCCCGACCTCTGCGGTCTGGACTTTTTATTCCAGAGGTCGGGGAATAAGAGGTCGGGGAATAAGCCTTGTTGTTCGGCTCCCGTTAGGCCATGGGGCCCCGGTACAATGGGTACAATGTTGCAGGGGCCGCCATGGTTAAATTTCCGGTCCATCCTCACCCCCTCTAGTATTACAATCGCCAAATGGGGTGACGACCGGAAATTCTCAGTGGATCTCAGTGGCGACCGGAAATTTGCGATTTCGCTTGGGACTTCCTCGCAAATAGATTTCGGGTCCCAGTTATGTTGCTTGGAAGTTGCGATTCTGCTTGGTACTTCTTGCCAGTCATGTTTACCTCTCGGGGAGCGACGATGCAAGGGGGCCTGCAGTGCCGACCCGGACTTTTTGATCCAGGGGGTTGTAAGATTAGGATGGTGATGATGATGATTTGAAACTGATGATGCTGCTGCTGCTGATGACGATGATGATGATGAACATGCTGATGCTCATGATGATGGTGGTATTGATGAAGATGCTGATGATGATCATGATGACGATGATGGTGATGATGATGACGATGATGATAATAATGGTGATGATGATGGTTATGTTGGTGGTGGTGAAGATTGGATGTGTGTCACAGCTTCGCTCCATCATCGTACCCGTCCCCGACGCTTCTTGGAAACGTGGCGGCCCCGTCCCGCTTCCAGAATCTAGAATACTTGGGCTCAAGCTGCCTTGGCGCGGCGAGCCACACCAGGTGTGTATGCTTCGCCCTGTCACCCTCACCGTGCTCGCGGCTTCCCTGAGCGCATTCGCGGGATCCTTGCCGTGGTCCTTGGCGCCGGCGCGGCAGGCGACCGCCCCGTCGGAGCGGGTCGACCTCTGCACGTGGGAGAAGGCGGCCTGCCCCCCTGCGTATGCCCGGCCTGCCCATGCAGCGCGGCGCCGGTCATCCCGGTGTGCCCAGCGTCGTCGGCGCTGGCCCGCCCCGCCCGGCTGCCCCTCAACTTCGCAGGGGGTAGCTTTCGGCCAGGCTCGTGGCTGGGCCTCGGCTTCCTCTTCCTCGGCGCGCTCAGTCTCCTGGAGGCCCGCGTCTGCCGGCAGTGGGGCCGCGGCGGGGCCAGCTTCGGCGGGGGCCCCGCCGCCGCCCTCGTGCTATGGGAGTATGGCCTTTCTCCTCGGGCTGCTCCTGGGCTCTGCCGGCGCCGAGCTCACCGCAGCCCCCAGGGGCGACAACACCGACGGAGGGTGACATCTGGCGGCCGCGGAGCCGCAGGACGTGATGGCGGCCGCCCGTCGGGTGGCTTTGGACATCGCGGCGCCGCAGGTCGCGGTGAACTACGACGGCGACCCTAACTTCTGTTGGCGTCACCGCGTCCTCCTGGCGAAGCTCGCCGACGGGGCGAAGTGGGCATGCGGGACCCCGACCCACGCAGTGCAGGCCATCAACCTCGCGGCCTATCCGTTGGTGCCGTTCGACCTCGCGTCTCCCGCCCTGGACAGGATCACGGGCAACGTGTACCTGTTTGACCCTTTCAGCGAGGACGAGCTGACGGATCTTCGGCGCCAGGCGACGCCCCTCGCGGGCCTCTTGGGCGGGTTGGCTTCAGCGCCAGGCAGCGCGCAGGCCCAGTGGGGCTTGGCGGGCCCAGGCGGCTCGGACAACTTTGGCGAATCGGTGGCGAACGCGGTCGCGCTGAACCTAAGTTCGCGCAGAAGGGCTCGGTTGGCACGGCGCTGATTGAGGACGACCGCTGGACAGCGGCGGGCGCAGGCGGCTGGCCTCAACGCGTGGCCGGAGGAGAAGCGCTTGGGGGCGGGCAGCGAGCTCCGCGCGCCGGCGGCGTAGCGAGACTCCCGCAACCAACGCTTTTCTCAGCTTCCGGGAGGCGTTCGCCGAGAGGAAGGAGCGTCGGCCTCCTGCTGCCAGGGCCGTTTGTTCATTGGCTGCAGGCAACGGCGCCGACGTCTGGTCCTTCCGCAGTCTCTCATCCGAGCACAGTATATGACTACCACCACCAAGATAGAGAATAAAATACGATGCGATTTGGTGCAGTTCTGTTCTGGTGAAAAGCCCGCAGTTCCCCTCCCGCCGCCAACGGCAACCGGGCTGCCCCCTCTCTCTGAAGGACCGAAACAGAATTCATCAAAGCACGCGCGGTGGTGGTGTATCTAACTTGGGTTGCCAAGGGGGGCGACTTTTATACACCACCACCTAGAAGTGCTGTTTCTGCTTCAGGAACTCCCCATGCCACGGCGCCTGCGAGCTGCGCCGCGCTACTTTTCGCCGTGGCGTCGCAGCGTCGTCCGGCATGGCCCTGCCCCTAACCCTTTTTGCGGTAAATTATTGTTGCGGGCGGCGGTGGTGCACACAAGCTGGCCTCGCATCTCAGCGGCCCTGGAGCTTGCGACGACCAGTCGGGCCAGCGGGGAGGACGTCGCGGCGCGCCGTGCGCATTTAGTAGGGTCAGGCGCGGCCGAGGACAGCGCCGTCGCTCATCATCTCGCCTCCCTCGTGCTGGCGCTGCGCCACGTGGTCTGCTTCGATGCAGTGGGCGCGTTCGAGTTCGCGGGGGGCGGAGGAGCTGGCGCGGCGGGTCACGTTCCTGGGGCGCGGCGCCCATCGCAACCTGACGGCCCTCGACTTCCGGGGGCCGGAGGCGACGCGGCCAGCCGCCTCGATTCAGGGGCGCGAGTCACGACGGGGCAGCTCGCAAAGTTCATCGCGGAGGAGCAGGAAGGGCCCTTGCCGCGCGCGAAGGGCTTGATCGTCGAGCACGTCGCGTGGTGGACGGCGCCCGCTTGCCCCTGCGGTGTTTTTCCATTCGTTCAGCCGCCTGGGGTGGGGGGGCGAAGGTCGCCCGCCGTTGCCGACGAGCTCGGGGAGCTGGGCCCGGCTGGCTCGCCGGCGCCCGAGCCGAGGGCCCGCCGCCGCTCCGGCGGCCTGGCCACTGTCCGCCTGGCAGCACTCTGTCACAGAGCCCGCTAGCCGTCAGGCGGCGCCGGGGAGACCGCGGCGGCCGCCGCTGGGGCTGGGCCCGATGAGCTTGAACTAAGCCCAGACGGGGCGCTCACGGAGATTCTCAAGACAGGTTCTGCACGATCCAGGCGCGGCGCACGACGGCCTGAAGCTCGCGGTCATTCGAGGCGGGCTCGCGTTATAGCGCGCGGCTGCCAGCGCCCGCGCGGCCTCGCCGGGGCCGGCGGCCCCCTCGCAGCCCACGCGTGCTCGACGGGCTGCTCGGCAAGCTGGAGGCCGCGGGCCCGCTCGCGCGCCGCGCGGCGTCGCGCTCCAGGGCGGGCATCTAGTTTGCGCGGGAGAAGACCAGCATGCCGCGCATGGTGCGGGATTGCCGCCTGGACAGCGCGCTCCACGCGCGGGCGCCGCGCTCGCGGCTGGCCGCCAACAGCGCCGTGCCTTCGCTGGTGCTGGGCCCCGAGCACGCCGGCGGCGCGTCCGACGCGACGCTCTCGCTCTGGGGCGCGCGTCGGTGGACCTGCAAGATAGCTTCTGCCAGTTCCTGGCGCCGACGGCCTCGCGCCACTTCGAGCCGGGGCGCGCTGGGCTTGCCAGCGAGGCGGGCGTTGAATCCACCCGCGACCCCGAGGTGCGCCACGAGGTGTAGGTCTCGCCGGACACCCCGCTGGAGGCGCGCTTTGGAGAGTTGGCGATGGGCCGGAGCTGGGGAGCTGGGCGCTGCACTTCTGTCATGCCGCCCTGTCGACAGCGCGCCGCCAGGCCAGGGAGCCCCCGGGTCTCCCGACCGCGCCCGTCGGAGATCGGCAAGGTAGCACCCTCGCCGCTGCTTCGGGGCGTCGCCGCGCGCGCGCCAGGGTCGGGCCAGGGGGCCGTCGCCGCGCTGCACGAGCGGGTGGTCGACCAACTCGAGCGGGCGGGCATCGCGCACCACGACCGGATCGACCTGGCGGTGGGGGGGTTCAGCCGAGGCCGCGTTCGGTAGCTCTTCGGCCATCTCGTGCACTTCCAGCTCGCGACGGTGCGCCCCTGCTTGCCTTGGCGAGGCGCGCCGCCACGCGTGCTCCGGGGCGGCGAAGTGGCCCCGCTGCAGACCGCGGCGCTGGATGAGCCGGCGGTAGCGCGGAGCCCCGTGAATTTCGCGCGCGCGGACGTCGCGGCGCCGACGCTGCCTCGACGCCCTTGCAGCGAGTCGTTCACCGAGGGCAACGCAGCGCACGTCGGACGCGAAGCCTTCCGCCCCCTGGCGAGAGGCCGCGCGGCGAGAGCGCCGGGACTTCGCGGGGCCGACCGACGCCGCTGCCCGCGCCGACTTCGAGGCTGTTCGCGGGGCCACCGCCGCGCTGCCGGCTGCTGGCGGCTGCTTCTCGGAGCGGGTGGACCGCGAGCTGGGCGCGGAGCTGCAGCGACACGTCGAGGACCGCGGCGGGGACCTCCAGTCTGGCGACCAACGGCGGCAACAGGGGCCGAGGACCCAGGGCGAGATAGGGCGAGGTCGCCGGGCTCGCGCCGATGGTCGGAAGCTCGTTCGCGGAGCAGCGGCGCTGGCGACATCTCCCAGTGGGGCGCTGGAAGCGCCAGGCCGCCGTCCACTGCGAGGAGGCGCGGGCAGCCCTTCTCGGCCATCATCGCGCGGTGGAGCTCCCGGCCTCCCACGGCCGCCGCGCCCCCAGCTTCGGGGGCAACTTCTCGGAGATGCTGGCCTTCGACCGAGGGCGCGCCCGCGGCGCCGAGCTGCTCGGCCTCGCGCCCCGCTCGGCCGCTGCCCGCCCGGCGAGGGGCTCTGCTGGCGCAGACAGGCGAGGCCGAGACCTGGCGCAAGTTTGGGCGGACGACTGGGACAAAAGGTCGAACTGCGACCTGGGCGTGCTTTTCCTCCGCGGGGGGCAGACCAGCGCCGCCAGTTACGTCATCTTCGGGTCCGCGCGCTGCTTGGGGCTGCCCGTTCGCTTCTCCTCAACGCCACCCTCGGCCCGGGCTGCGCGGCGCGGCTCTGGGCGGGCCGACCCCGTCGAGGTTCGCGACGCGTTGCCAGTCGAGCTGACCTGGCCGCGCAAACAGGGTTGTTTCGACGACGACGACGACGACGACGACGACGGGGAGACAGGGAAGTTGGCGGCGGCCGCAACCTGGGTCGTGGTGGATTGTTACTTGAGGCCGAGTGAAGCCCTGGCTCTCGCAGCTGACCGCGCGTCCTCGCCGCGGCGCAAAGGTGGGCCAGTCGCGGTCGCGGTGGCGCCTGCTGCCCAAAATGCGCCTGCGTTCAATCTTCAGCGCGATGCTTCCGCCGTCGTGGGGTCTCACCACAAGCACAGGGTTGCGCAGATGGTCGAACTCCTCGCTCGTCGCACCTCCTCTGGGCCCCATCCTGTCCTTCTCCCTTTGCAAATGATAGTTCACAGACAAGCTTCCTCTGACGACTCGTCGTCACACTGGTCTTCGCTGGTCCGAGTCAAGACGCTTGGTTTGTTCGAAGACGATGCTGGTAGGCTCCAGGCACGCGGCAGATGGCCCAGTCGAGCCTCAGTATTGCGCTGCTCGAAGCCCGCCAGACTGCTCAGGACTCGTGCTTCGCTATCTCGCCAACAGCTTCCGTAGGGCTGCGGACGCCATGTCTACGCGGCGCTCCTCGCAGATCCCGGATTCCGTTCGGCCCTCCCCGCGCACGGGACCCACGTGCGCTCCCGCCCCTCCGCCCGCCGTGCCGAGCGGGGTCTGGGGAATAGGCGGGGGCGAACAGGGCGGCCTCCAAACCTCGGCCGTACTGCGCGTCGGGGTGCCGTCGCGCCCCCCCTCCAGGAGCGTGCGCTGCCGTGGTGGCGGTGATGGTCTCTCGTCAGCTCTGTTGCCCCCCTGTGCCGTCGTCGCCCTCTGCCGCCCCCGTCCTCCGTCGTAGTTACAGCCGCTTCGCGTGGTGAAGCGGATAGGGTCGGCGCAATGATGATGATGATGATGATGATGATGATGATGATGATGATGATGATGATGATGGTGATGATAATGATGACGATGATGATGTTGATGATGATGATAGTGATGTCGAAATTGATGATGGGGATGATGATGATGTTGTTGTTGATGATGATGATGACGATGACGATGCTGATGCTGATGATGTTTATGATGACAACGACGATGCTGATTATGATGACGATGACGATGATGAGGATAAGGATGATGATGATGATGGTGATGATGATGATGGTGGAGGTGGTTGTGATGATGATACTGATGCTGATGTTGATGATGCTGCTGACCATGATGGTGGTGGTTGTGATGATGATGACGATGATGCTGATGACGATGATGATGGTGGCGGTGGTGATGATGCTGATGACCATGAGGATGCTGAGGATGATGATGATGATGATGATGATGATGATGATGATGATGATGATGGTGATGTCGAAATTGATGATGGGGATGATGATGATGATGATGATGGTGGTGGTGGTGTTGGTGATGATGATGATGATGATGATGGTGACGACGATGACGATGATGATGATGATGATGATGATGATGAGCATGAGGATGAGGATGAGGATGAGGATGATGATGTTGATGATGATGGTCATGAAGATGGTGTTGATGATGATTGTGGTCATGGTGATGGTGATGGTGCGGTTGATGGTGATGATGATGAGGAGGAGGAGGATGTGGATGTGGATGAGGATGAGGATGAAGATGAGGATGAGGATGAGGTTGGTGGTGATGGTGATTGCGATAGTGATTTGATGATGAGATGGAGGAGGCGTACGAAGAGGAATGTTACGATGATCACGCAGAGGGTAAGGATGTTGAGAAGGAACAGCAGCAGCAGAAGCAGGAAAGGGAGCGGGATAATGATGATGAGGAGGAGGAACACGAGGATGAGGATGAGGATATTGAGAATGATGATGGTGATGTTGGTGGTGATAAGGCAAATGAGAACGAGGAGGAGGCTGATAACGGAACAGAGAGAGGAGAAGGATAATGATGCGGATATCGGAGGAGGAGGAGGAGGCGGAGGCGGAGGGTGGCGACAAAGAAGATTATCCGAGAGGCGTACGCCATTCCGCCGACCCCCAGGGGCGGGACGAAGTCCGCGGGTGAGGCCGTTCGGGGCCTCTTGGGGACTGGGGGGCCTCTTGAGGGCCTCTTCGGGCCTTTGGGGAATTTCTTGGGCGCCTGCTGGCGGTCTCGGCGATCATCTTGGGGCGGAGGGCTCGGAATGTCAGTTCGAGCTGCCTCTCTTGGGCCCCCCTTGGGGCCCTGTTGGAGCTCTCTTGGGCCATCTTGGGCGCCTCTTGGGCCTTCTTGGTATCCTATTCGGCCGTCTTGGGGCCCTCTTGGAGGCTTCTTGATCCGTCTTGGAGCGATCATGGGGCCCTCTTGCGCCGTCTTGGGGCAATGTTCAAATTACGTGCTCCCGATGGATTTGGACGATTCTTGCTTCTTGGGGCCTTCTCGGGGATCGTCTTGGAGCCCTCTTGGAGCGTCTTTGAGGCCTCTTGGGCAGTCTTGAGGATATCTTGGTCGTCTTCGAGGACTCCTGTGCGTGTTGGGAACTTGCTTGAGCAAGCGCCGATCGATTCTTAGGCATCTTGGGGGCCACAGAGTGTAGAACTAGAGGCTCCCGAGGCCCGGAGGAGCGTTGATGAGCTCGGAGAGGCCCCCCCGCCCGACCCCCCCTTTCTGATTGGATTTCAGACCCCAGGGGAGGGGGAAAGGGGGAGGGGGACAGCCAATCATCTCGCACGCCTTTGCACCCCTGGCAAGCGGGAGTCGGCTGATCATTGGAAGAACAGGAGGAGGAGGTGGAGGAGGAACAGGAGGAGGAGGAGGAGGAGGAGGAGGGGGGGGGAGACAAGGAAGGCTCTCATTCACTATTGGGCGAGATGGCGGCGACGCGATCTGGCATCCTTGTTCCCTATTGGACTGCCGGTGGCACGATCATGGCTGATGAGCGCCCGCAGGCCCTCTTACCCACGTCCACGCGGAGGTCTGCGGACGTCGAGGTGTCTGAGGCTGGGAAAGGGGCCCCCCTCTCCTCCTTGCCCTCCTTGCCGGTATTGCCGCTCCGCCTCTGCCACAAGTTTCCCCATTTTTTCCCTCGTCCGCTCCCTCCCTCCCTCCTGTGCTTCCTGTCTCCCTCGCCCCTCCTCCTTCCCACGCTCACGAGCACAACCAGAGGATAGTGGCCAACCCAATGAAGTGCGGAAAATGAAATTGCCCGATGAAGCGTTACAAGCCGAAGAAGGGCTCGAATGATCAGCCTGACCTGCAGAATACAGCGGATCGATCAGTGCACAAGCAGCGGCATCGTCTACGTACCATCCAGGCGCTCACGGCTGCGATGGCCATGGTGACCGACCCGACAGGCAAGGAGGTTCTGGCTGAGCAGGTCGCGGCGACGCAGAAAGGGGGCTCTGGCATCTGGTCCGCCCGCGGCTGTGTCGCCAGGGCAAGCGGTTCGCCGCAGGATAGGGGCGCGGACGGACGCCAAGCAGAAGCATGCGCTGGCGGCGGCCGCCGTCTCGCGCTGCCAGGAGAATCTCTCGGCGGCGATGACGAAGAGGAGGCTGCGCGGGCGCTAGCGTTGGCGGAGATCAGCAAGCGCACGGCGGCGGTGGCTCTGGCCCGCGAGGCCGGCGTGGCCACGGCAGGCATTAGCAGCAGCGGCGACGCCACTCAGGGTGGAGGAGGTGACAACGCTGATGAGCAGCCGATGATGGACGTGACGTGGGGCGAGGAGATTTTCAAGCAGGTCGACACCTTAGAGTGCGCTGGCCAGGAGCGCCAGGAGTTCAAAAAGGTTGAGTCCGAGCTGAAGGCAGTGAGGGAAAGCGTGGTCAGCAAGGCCGACCATGTGAAGAAGTGGAAGACTCAGATGCTCCACTTGCGCCAGAAGGTTCAGGATCGTCTGAGCAAGAAGCGCTTGACCGATACCAAGAGCACGGCGGAGACGGTCGGCGGCGAGGGCGGCGACGGCCAGGGACGGCCCGTGGAGTCCACGGCGTCGCCGCCGGTGGCGGAGGGCGCCGCGGCGGCCAGACCAGCCGTCTGAGGCCGAGAACAAGGCCGAGATGGAGCGCACCAGAGCGGTTGCAGTAGAGGCTGAGCAGGCGGCTGAGGGAGCGAGCCTGCAGGCCCCTGCTGAGGCAGGGCTGGCGTGAGGCACCGCGGCGGCGGAGCTCGCGGCGACCGCCGTCACCGAGCCGCACGAGCCGTTCTCCAAGGTTTTCGCTTCCTGCTGATGACGGCAATTCCTCCGTGTGCATGTTCTTCAGCAGTGTCACCATTTTGGGCAAGACGGCGCGGGGTTACCTCAGCTCGGCGCCGACGCTCGCCAAGTACGAGTACATCGGCGTGGTGGAATAGCACATCGGCGCCCGTTCCAGGGCCACTTGGGCTCGGAGAGCCAGGGTTCTGAATTTCAAGTACTTAGACAATCTTGCGAGAGCTACATGACGTTCAACCTCGGCGGCGACGGCGGGGCGCGCCTACGAGGGCGGGGAGGTATTGTCCGCTCGTGTACATCGGGCAGTTCACAGAGTGTTTGCCAAGCCTCATGTTGGGGCCAGCTATTATTGCGCCGAGGACGAAGATGCTTTCGACGGCTTCTGGCCGGCACTAGTACGTACGAATGATTTATCAATGATTGTGCTATTGGTTTACGCTCATAGATTGTAGAGTTCTCAGACATTAACACATCTTGCTTTGCAGAGGTAGGCGCATTCTTATCCGCAGTCACATCGCCCTGGCCAGTGATCGGCGACTGTAACATAGACGTATCGAAGTTTCAGAGGTCAGTGTTTTGCCCTCGCATCGGAGTGCGATACATCGGGCATATGTGAAGTACACGCGCATTGGGAGTTCTGGTAGATCACGCACGACGGCCCCCTGGATGGGGGAGCTGGCACTCTCGCCCTTGCCGACGCAGCTGCATCTCCTGCCCCCCCGCCGTCTCTCGCCCCCCCCCTCGCCCATTTGGGCAGCCGCTCGGACTCAAGTCCCTTGGGCAGCGCGCAATCTTCGCGGCGCTTGGCCCCCCATCAGTCAATCGCTCGCCGCTCAGACAGGCGCGCAGCATTTTCCACCCATCAGTGGGGCTTTCGCGCGGCGCGTCGAAGCCGCGGGGTTGGCCATCTCTGACCATTGCAACTCGACAGCTCCGAGTCGGTCCAGACCCTGCGGGCGCGAGTTGCGCGCGGTCTCCGTCGGACAAGCTGAACGCGCTCGACAGGGGCTGAGGGGCGGCGTTTCAACGCGGCGGTCGAGGGCCCACGATGTAGCGCAACGTGTTTTGCGCCATCGGAGGCGCGGCAATGGAGTAGTCCAGCAGGGGCATCTTTCGGCGGCGGCTACAAGACTGGCTGGTCAACCTGTCGACGGCGCAGGAGCGCATGATCCTGCCGGCGAGGGGTCGCGGCGAGCCTTGCTCCAGGATCTTCGGCGCGCGATCGATCTGTCCGCGGGCGAGTTGTTGGCGCGGGAGGAGGAGGCTTCCAAGGCATCCGAGGAGGCCCATAGTCGTGCTGTCGCCGCCGCGTTGAAAGATTATTAGCAGTGGCTCTGCAGTTTGGACTCCCAGGGGCCGGCGTTCCGCGCGCTGAAGGACCCGGGCCCAGAGGCGACGAGGTCCGCGGCATTGACGGCGCGGCGCTGGTTCATCCCTGGGACATC